GTATGATCGCTGGAACTGAAATTACAGATACAGAAATACATCGAAAGGAAAAAGGGATTATCATCAAATCACTGAGAGAGAGGATCAACACGAGCTAACCAGACTGTGCCTATGTGGGCATATTGATTATAATGTTATTATCTTCTAAAGTCATTTCACCAGTTTAATTTCTAATTGAAGGGAGAAAAATAAAATCATCTTGTGTTCATCATACAACTGAGCTAGTAATTTACCAACATATATTAATTTCTGATTGTTATATCAACGATTTGATCACCCACGAGAAAGGAAATAGCAGCCCATAGGAACACTAAGAGACGCTCGGGAAGGATGGTCAATCTCTGAGAGTATAAAAAATGGATGAAGCTGCCGAATTCTGTTGTAAAGTGTTTCCAAGGCGGCCCAGCAACTCGCCGTCTTTAGTATGTGACGCAGCATCTGCAGCTTCTTTTGCCATGCCTATTCGAGCATAAGCCTGTTTCATGCAAATACGTTTTTTTCATTAATATGGAGACGATTTTAGCATCAACTCTACGAAATGCAGCAATTCGAGATATGAAAGGTTGTTGGGTTAGAGTAAAACCAGCAATTAATGTAACCGAAATCCCGATTTGATTGGTTTAAACATAAGCTGACAGCAGTTACCTTAAGGAGTGCCTTCAAGATAACAGAAACACACATTATGTAACGTTACCTGACACATGTATGTGGACTCAAAGTCATCAATAGTGGCAACTCCACAATGTATCTGTGAGGCTATCGCTTTGGCACGACGTTGACTGCTAGAAAAAACAGCACATCCAAGCCCATATTTTAAGTCATTTGCAAGCATGATAGCCTCCTCATCAGAGTTGAACTTCATTATTGACATGATCGGTCCAAAAGCCTGCTTATGGAATTACATCATCAATAACTCAAATGCACTTCCTCTATTAAACCCATCAAAGCCATTCTTGGTGAAATCAAACTAATAAACTAAAAAACAGTACATTCTATATGAGAAGAATTATGACAATTAGAAACTCATCATGTGACAGTATATTTGGTAAAGACACATTGGATACACATAGACCCATGGTCATGTTTGTTTTGTTTCTGGTTTCGAGTCAAAACACATTCTAAAAATCTATCAACTATCACATACCTGAATCTGAAAGTATCTTAAATCATGAGATATCTGCAAAAGGAAAATGAGCAATCTGAGAATTTTGTACATACTTGCTAGCCTTAGGTTTTGATGAATGAATTGTGCCTGTTGCAAGTACACTGTTTGTATCCACTTAAAACAGCAGATTAACCCTGTTCACACACATCATATTATCCCTGTCAGCAGATTGTTATTGAGTTAGCAATAGGTGGTTATGGAGTTACAAACCAGAAAGCCAAGTCCATCTAAGTCAAATAGCTAAGTCTAAACGAACTGTTTGGGACTGTTGAATTGAAAATGCAGCAACTTCCATTCTTGCATGTTCTCTTAATGTGGTTAGAAGTGTCTAAATTGGGCGGAGGTAATGAGTATCATATGCATAAAGATAGTTATTCAGTTTTCCAAAATGATCATTCATTTTCACTCTTAAAAATTGTTCTTTCATTTCTATTTAGAGTCATTCGTTTCCCCAACTAATATTATGTCAAGGTATTATTACTTAGCTCTACAGCTTAAATTAGCATGAACAAATATTTGGGCAAACATAAGACATAAAGGATCTCTAAACAAACTATTTAGTAGCTTAAATAAAAACATACTGCAAACTAAGCAAAGCGAAACAAACATCAAGAGCGAAACTGGTAAAAAGAGAATAAACAAACCCAAATCAAGAGCATATTTCAAGCAAACCCAAATCATTATCTGTTTGGTTTTGCTGATTTCATCAAGAGCATATTTCAAGCAAACCCAAATCATCTAAACCCTAAATCATTATTCATCAAAAATAAACAAACCCAAATCAGCAAAACCAAAACAGATAAATGAATCGCATTTTGTTACCTGAAATGGCAGATGGAGAGCGAGGGTAAAACAGAGAGCTTTCAACAGTGATTTCGGTTGCGATGGACGATTGAACGATGCGGTGATGGACGATTGAACGATGCGATGATGGAGAGCTAGGGTAAAACAGAGAGAGACGATGTGATGGAAAGCGATGGAAACTCTTTTTAAAGGGAATCGTCATCTGTGAGGGAATCGCCATCTGGGGAGTAGGAGAAATCCTGAATCGTCGTCTTGGGAGGGAAAACGTCTTCTTGGAGGAGGGGAGCCGGGTAAAGGGAAGCGTTGAAAAGCAAAGGTAGAGTAAAGGGTATTTTGGGTATTTAAAATTTTAAGACTTTAAGACTTTTAGGGAATTTGCTTAATAAGGTAGTATAGATAATAAACGGTAGTTTACAAAGCCAATGTATATGCAAAATATTTTTTTAAAATTGTCAAAAACTTGGTGGTAAAAGTCCGTTGGTTTTCCCTGATTTAAACACCAAATAGAAACACATATAAAACATAAATTGAACGTTGGCGATGAAACAAAAAAGGAAATTTTATAACTGGAATTCCACAGCCACAAGTCTTGGGGAAGTGGAACCCTAGTCATCCTACCATGTCCATGTCCGATATCCATTGATGGAAATCGAGCTCTATCTTCATGGCGATTCTTGTTTTCCCGCACATTCCAACTTTCATATTTTTGCAAAATCGTCGTCGCTCAGTTCCACCATGTTCTTCTTCGGCCACCGTCAAATTCTCGACTTCCAAGGCAATAACAAGTTCCAGTGGCGGAAAAAGCACCGGCGCTGCACTTCTTTGGTACAAGAATGATCTCCGTGTCGATGATCATCCAGGTTTAATTGCTGCCTTGCAACATACGGAGGTTGTTCCTCTTTATGTCTTCGATCACCGTATTCTTCGCCGTGAGTTTCTTTCAACTTCCTTATTGCCTCCATTATGTAATTGGATTGCACTTTTGAAGCCGCTTCTTCACATTTTATGCACTATAAGTAACCCTCATCTTCAAGAAAAGATACAGTTCGATATAGCAGGTCTAGTTAATTTTGAAGTTCCAAAGTATCATGATGCTAACTTTTGGAGAATAATTGGATTCTTGTAGGAATGAATCGTGCATATCTCGTACGAATCAATTTCGAATCTAATGTGGTACCTTATTTGATAATAATTTAATTGCTGTGAACAATGAATAGTGCAGAAATTGCATGAATCAAGTTTGAGTGTAAGATGATACCCCCTCTTTTAATATGCACATTAGAGTTTGTCACAGATTTTTTTTTTTCGTACTACAATAAATAGAAGTTTTCTGTGGTTGAACCTCCAGAGAGTCTCATATGAACTTTTGATTGGATAGATGATAGGTATTATAACCTCAAAAGTTGAATTGTGTATCTTTTCTATGGAATCTGGAGATCGATCTATACCAGTGGGAAGTGACAAGTAATATTGAATAGTGGGGATAGGAACAAAGTGGTCTACAATATCATTCATCATGTTGAAGCTTGTAAATTTGTACCCACTGCAGACTTCACTGAGGAAATGCTTGAGCTGCTTCTCTTTGCTGTAAAAGATCTGAGAAAGTCATTGAAGGATCTGGGATCTGATCTGATGATCAGGTTGGGGAGGACAGAATCTGTTATTCAAGATCTTGCAAAAGAGGTTGTTTCCTTGAGGTCTTTTACTAATTCTTTTTAACGGGACAGGAGAAAGGGCAGCTTTGAGTACCCATCAACTCATAATTAATTTATCACCTAGGGTTGGAACAGGTCAGGGCTGACAGCATTTACACACAAGAAGAGGTGGAATATGACTTACGTTTGGTGATGGAGAAGGTTAAAGAAAACTTGGGAAATGTATTTGTTGAAGAGAAGAGCCCTAAACTATCTCTATGGAGTACTCCTTTGTATGATATCAAGGTATAGCTTTCAGGTTCATCACTACTAGTTTGGCGTGTTAGTTATGCTGATATGATCTAATTTTCCTAGAACGGAGTTGACCTTCCATTGTCATATGATGACTTTCAACGATTAAAATTGTCTGTGCATTCACCCCTTTCATCCTCAGATTTACCTGGAGTAGCGACAGATCTGGCCTGGGGTAAGTAATATAGTTTCAAATTGATAAAGTAATTTGAAGTTTTGGGAATTTAATTTGTGGTTTTGACATGGAAATTGATATGATCCAGGTCCTCTACCAACACTGAATGATCTTAAGGAATTCATAGATAAGGATCCATACAAATCAAAAGATAGCTGGACTTCGATCAAGGACAGTTCTGCTGAATATGTAATGCAGAATGCTAGGAGTCTTATATCAATTAGTCCAACCAATGGTTTTGTGTCAAATTTGGGGGAGAGCAGTCAAAGTAATTTGAATTCCCTTACGACTCAGACCAAGGAGAAAAGATCGAAAAAATCAGCATTTGTAACAAAACAAGGAAATGTTGTTGGAGGTGGAACAAGTGATGTGCTTAATGCGTTGGCTGCATATTTAAAATATTTAGAGGGTACTAGACGGGATGATTGGCAGGAGTATGTACCCGCTCTTTGCCTGCACTTTATCTAGCCTCTCAATTTGAATACTTGATATTTCTGTACATGCCTTTACCCTGCAGACTTTTGTTGCTTTGGAACCGAATTCAGTGTCATTTTGGCTGGTTATTATTTCAGGGTGCATGAAAAATTACGCAATGCTGAAACCCGTGAGGGAGCTTCATTTGGTACTCTCTTTGGACCGGCCCTTCAGCTTGGAATCATTTCTCGAAGGAGAGTGTATTATGAGACTATAAAATATGAAAAAGACAGAAATGGTGGGTTCCTGTCACCCTTTGGGTACTCAGCTGCCACTATTGCTGCAGCAGCTGATCATGTTTGCTCAGTGGAGGTATGCTTTTCCATATTGGCAACATACCATTTGATTTTAAATTTGTAGCTGTCAACCTGTAACAACCCCTTCTGTCTCAATTTTCTTTTCTTCATGGTGGGTGTGGATATTTATATTATTTCATGGGGGGAGGGGGTCTTGATAGGTGGGTAATCTTGATGAATCTTATTCCAACTCAATAGCTTCTTTGTGGCAGTGGTATAGTCTTGTGGCTTCAAGAAGTCAAGTAGATTTCACAAAAAGATATTGTACTCGGTTCTGGAGGTGGAATGGCCATCTAATACAGGCTAGTATCAAAAACTAATGCTCACGTGGCTTCAAATTTCTAGAGAGAAAAATAGAACATCTTTAATTTCATTCTACATATGGATCTTTCTTGTTTTTTCAGTATGCAGTTGTGGGGTGTGAAGGTCCTGCTATCCTTCTTGTACACGGTTTTGGTGCTTTTTTGGAGCATTACCGTGACAATATCAATGATATAGTTGAAGGTGGCAATCGAGTTTGGGCAATCACACTTCTGGGATTTGGCAGATCAGAGAAACCAAACGTCATTTATACTGAACTTATGTGGGCTGAGATACTAAGAGATTTCATAGTTGATGTTGTTCGGGAACCGGTTCATCTTGTTGGAAACTCATTTGGAGGTTTGTTCAATCTTCTATAGACCACCCTACCTTTAAACTTATTGTTAGTATATTAGAGGCAAGGAACCTTTTGAATCTTTTTTAATTGCTACGTCTCCAGGCTATTTTGTTTCTATTGTTGCTGGCTTGTGGCCTACGTTAGCTACGTCTGTGGTGCTCTTGAACAGCGCTGGCCATTACATCCCAGGATATTCCTCTGTGCCTCCCTCTAAGGTAAGAAAAGGTTAAGGTTAATGAAATGCTTTCTCCAATTTGGGCAGAAAGAGTCTGACTTTTGAGATCAATGGTACCAATTTCAATTTCAATTTCAACTTCAACATCATATGAACTATTTAAAACAAAATTCTGACAACATGGTTATTTTGTTAACAATCAACACCAAGTAAAGAGACCAAATGGCATTAAAATTCAAAGAACTTTTGCCAACAACCAATTACCTGCTTGAAAACTTAAAATATGTGTATTGTTTTATTCAAGGGTTGTCATCATGTTTATTGAGGCAGCAGCAAGAACAGGGTGGAGGGGTTGGCGGTAGGTAACGAGCTGTAGGGCCAAAGTCCCTTGGATTCTGGTGTCATTGAGCTCAAAAGTACTTCTCATTGAGCTTAAAAGCTACTTAGTTTATACCTTCGAAGTCAAAGGAATGGGGTGTGTCCATATTGGCATGGTGAAACTCTAGTAATAGTCCACATTTGATTAGGCATGCAACATAATTGAAGTATGGAATTTTGGTACAACTCGGCTTGCTGCAAAGCCTTTATTTCTCATCCAAACACTCCAGGTCTGGTTTCTACTTGTTGGTGTATTTTCTAAAACACCCCTCACTCGTGACAGAATTAGAGGAATCTTTTAGATCAAAATCAATGTCATTGATATTTAATAACCAGTAGTGAGGGGTAAAAAGGTAACTTCGAATAGAAGCTTCCAGAATGTTGTGTTCATTTTGGGACAGAGGGATTACTTTTTCTCCTTGTCTGATGCTCCATATGTATTTAAGGTTATACATGATTACTTAATTTGGCTTGTTCATCTCTCTCTTTAATAGAGTCCATTTTTTTCTGGCAGAATTTGGTTGTTAGTTTGAATATATATGATCTGCATTTCAGGAGAGGAAAACTACAGGAATAGCATGGTTGGGTGCCAGGGGCCTTTCGTTCTACCTGAGATTGAGCTTTAGGAATTTGGTGAAGCGTTGCTACCCAATCGTAACTTCCTCACGACATACTTGTGACATTATTCATACACAAGATTACGCATTAAGGTTTGCTTGTTACTGAGTATGTGTTCTTTTTCTTTTTCTTTTTCTTTTTTTGTAGAAAACAGATCGTGCAGATGAAGGGCTTCTCAATGAGATGGTAAGGGCAGTATCCTTTTGAGGCCCTGTTACATTTTGATTTGTTAAGCTTAACAAATTGAACCTTATTTGGTTAAGCATGATGCATAAGCTCTTTAAGTCCTTTGCCCATCTATTTTATACTAGGTGAAGTAAAATTAAATTGTCCGCATAAGAGTAACTTTCAACATGAACTCATGTAACTCGTGTAAATTCTATTTGTGGCATTCCCTTGATTGAAGATTAGTCATATGGCTATTGTTGTAGTGGTTCTATAAAGGCATCACATTTGATACTGTTTATCAAGAACATATTGTTATCCAAAAGACTTCCATGCTCAACTCTGGAGTCTTTGATTTGGAGATCATAGGTTCAGATACCTTTTTTGTGTCTCTGTTCTAACCTGGGTATTTTAGTAAATAAGTCGAATAGAATATGGTACAAGTGTCTAATGCACTGGTACATGCTCTAGGTAGTAGGCGGCTAGAAGCATATCCTTCAGTTCGTCAAGTCTGTTTTAGGCGAGAGAGAATCTGGCCTCTCAGAAGTCAGATCCCCTATTGTGAACATTCAGTTGATGTCTAATACAGTTCTATATCCCTCAAATCAGTCCGGTGTTCATCAGTCCACCATTTATGCGATACAGAAATGAAATGTGAGTTTTCTCATATTTATATGACGTGTGAAAATCAAATCGAGATCCATAAAGTGGAGAACAGAATTAACAAATTGAACCTTCCTTTGGTTGACAAGTGTAAGCTTTTAGTTTGTTGTCCATCTATTCAGTTGCTCAATCCCCGAGTCTTTGGTCTGCAGATCATTTGTGGAAACAAAATTAATCCTTCAAGTCCCATTTTTTTTGTCGCAAGCCTCCCTCAACCTACTATCCATTTATCCCATATTAGGTGAAGTAAAATAATAGAAATGTTGGCATAAGAATGGCGTTCGTTATGAACTTGTGTGGATCCTGTAAATATGCATTCATTCCTTAATGATTAGTCATACGACCCTGGCGTTCTTGTGGTTCTAGAAAGCATCTTCACGTTTGATCCTTCGATTCCACTGAATTATCTTCTGAAAGGATTTGAGCAGAAGGTCCTTGTTATCCAGGTAAAACACTTACGAGATGTGATGAGTAGAATATATTCAGTTATGAATCTTGTATGTGTTAGCAGGGCATGAGAGACCCAATCTCGGACTCCAAGACCAAAGTAAGTGTTGTGAAGAGACACTTCGAGGAAATCATAATTAAGGAGCTGGATGCAGGTAATCTGGTTGTAACTGCCTGATCTGGATCAGCTATCGAGATTTCTGTCTTACTGGTCTATCTCAGGTCACTGTCCCCATGATGAGGTACCGGAGGAAGTCAACTCTATCATCCGGGAATGGGTGGTCAATATCGAAAGCAGACACACGATCTTGGAACGAACCTGCAAAGATGGAAGCTGAATTGCAGACTGAGAGTATTTATTGTTGTATTTCTGTGAAGATGTTAAAAAAGAAAAAAGTTGCAAGTAGATTGAAACACATAAAAGACAGCATAGATAAGGAAAGGGTTCATGTAAGAATCTCAGATATTCTGAGAACCATGAAACTAATTTTGTAACATGTATTCATTGATGAATGCATACATTTGAATTTTATAGTCTATATTCATTCAACAAATATATAGAGAGAGAAGAGTTATAACCCTTGTCATTAATACAACCAATACAACCTCATTTCATTCATTCAAACTTTAATCTATGGTAAGGGATTGTATTTAATACTTTCCTTTTTTTCATTTTGTAAATTGTTTGAGTAATATAGGAAATTTTAAATATAACATAATTATTGATTTTTTTTAATTTTTTATAATAATTTTCCAGAATTAATGGGATTGCATTAAAAAATAATGAGATATCCTAGTTAATACACGTCTTTTGCTTTATCGATTTTTTCTAGAATGTTGCATCAAATTTTTTTCCAGAAAAGGTTTCTTCCTTCATCGATTATTTCCAGTGATAGTTTCTCCCTTAAACAATTTTTTATGGTGGTTTCGTATTAAGATTCTTAATTTCTCGCTTGCATTTAAACTTAGCATTAACGGATCTATTAAATTCTGTCAATGAAGTTTACATGAGAGACGTTTTTGATTCACTAATGCATTAAGATTATAATAATGCATTTAGATTCAAGGGTGATTAAACAATGAAACAAGATTCAATTCATAAACACAATAATGCAATTAGATTCATTACTATAAAGAGAATAATGCAATTAGATTCATTAGTATAAACACAATGAAACAAGATTCATGCAATAAGGGTGCAGACATTGCTCATGTTAAAAGATAAGAGAAGAGACCATCTGTAAAGAATCGATGAAGGAAGACACCATCTCTAGAAAAAATTTAATGCAGTATTCTAAAAAAATCAATGAAGCAAGCGACGTATATTAACTATGATATCTGAATATTTTTTAACCCAATCCTATTAATTCTGGATAATTATGATTAAAAATTAAAAAAAATCAATAGTTATGGTATATTTAGAATTTCGGATATTACTCTTTTAACAATTTAAAAATGAAAAAAAAAGGAAAGTATTAAATGGACAGTTTGAATTGGGGCTGTATTCGTTGTAATAATCGTTTTCGTAAAATGAAGGTGTTCTCGTTTGAACCTTTATATATATATATATATATATATATATAGGGGCTGGTTCAAATACTAACCAAAACTATTGTGCAAACTATGTTAATCCGATCTTGATCGTTCATTTTCTCATCAAAC